AAACTTCAACTACACCCATCTTCCTGGTCAGAACTGCTGACGGTCTCATAGATGCCATCTGGCCGCTCTCCTAACTTGGTCCCTTCTTCCTCAGTTCCTAACACCACCTCCCCCACTATCACCTCTCTCCTAGGGGAGTCCAATGGTTCCCCAAGGGCTGCCCTCCTCTAACCTCATGCTTCCACCCATCTTCTCTTTCATACCTTGAGTTATCATTTGATCCTAGAGTGCAGATCAAGCTAACCCCCAGCTCAAAGTGCCTGCAGGAGAGTAGAGTCCAGGCACTCCATAGCCATCACATGAGAGACCCGTGATCCAGCCTTGAGCTGCCTGTGCAGGGTCATCCCTTCCCTGTCTCCACTTATCCAATGGAGAAGGCCATTCCTTGGGCCTGACCTAGAAGTTCATGGCAGAAACACTTTCAGTCCCAGATCATACTCCTTCCCTAATTCTTACACATCATCCACCTACCACTTCACAATGCTGTAGCAAAGGAGACAGTAGCAAGTGCTGAGGATATGGAGAAACTGCAGGCCCTGCACACTGCCGGAGGTCACAGAAAATGGTGCAGACACTTTGGGAACATTTTGGCAGTTTTTCTTTTTCTTTCTCAGTACTGGAATTGAACTGGGTGGGGGGGGGACTCTACCACTAAGGTACATCCCCAGCCTTTTTTATTTTTTGAGACAGGTTGTGCCATTATGCTTAGCTTAGTTTAGTCATTTTTCAAAAGGTTAATCATATAAATACTATGTCACAGCAATTGCACCCAAACACATATGCAAACATCATTCATATTTCCAAAACAAAGGGAATAACTCAAACATTCATCAATAATCCATAGGTGAATAAAATGTATCCTAGTATCCACAAAATGGAGTACTACTTGAAAATTAAAAAGGACTATGCTAAAAGGCTGAGGCAGGAGGATCACAAGTCTAAGGCCAGCCTGGAAAATTCCATTGTGAGACCCAACCTTAAAATAAAAAATAAAAAAGGCTGCAGGTGTAGTTCAGCAGTAGAGCACTTGCACATCATGAGCAAGGCCTGGGTTCAATGCCCACTACTGAAAAGAAAAGGAGAGAGGAGAGGAAAGAAGAGAAAGAGAAAAAGAAAACAAATGAAGTACTAATACATGTTACAATATGGATGAATCTTGAAAACATTATGCTCACTGAAAGAAGTTAGTCACAAAAGGTCACATAATTGTATGATTCTATTTAAAGGGCGAGCAGCCTTAAGCTGGAAATCCAAATTGTTCCAAAATTCAAAACTTTTTGAGTCTCAACATGACACCAAAAGTGGAAAATTCCCCACACGACCTCATGTGACAAGCTACGTGAAAATATTGGCACACTAAACATTACAAAAAATTATCTTCAGGCTTTGTGCATATGACCCATAAATGAATTTGGATCCCACCCCCAAGAAGGTATCTTACCATGTATTTACAAATATTGAAAAATCTGAAACAAGAACACTTCTGGCCTGTACATGAAATGTCCACAACAGGGAAAAATCTGTGGAGGCAGAAATTGGGTGAGTGGTTGGTTGCCTAGTGTGGAGGGGGAAAGGATTCCCTGCTAATGGGTATGCAACCTCTTTTAAGTAAGACAAAATGTTCTAAAATTAGATAGTGGTGATGGTTACACAACCTTATGAATAAAATAAAAAGCCCCAGTGAATTGTATACTTTAAACAGGCGAATTTTATCGTATGCAAATTATATCTCAACACAGCTGTTTAAACTGTTCAGAAAGCTACTCCCCCTACAATACAGTACCTGCTTCCTTTATAAAATGCTACCTGACCCCTCCTTAAAAGGTATTGTTCCACAGGGTTAATCTTGCTTATTTGAGTTCCTGCAGTTTAAATTTGTATCTTTAATCACTACTTCTTTCTGCAATCTGGAATAGTATTTAGAAAGTTCTGAAACCAAACTGCTGGGATTTAAGTGCTCACCAATACTTGCTAGGTATACAAATTTGTGCAAGTTACCTAGTATTTTTTTCCTCCCCCTCTTTCCCTCTCCACCCAAGTACTGAGTATTGAACCCAAGGTCTTTACACTGAGCCACAATCCCAAACCTTTTTTGTTTTTTACTTTGAGGCAGGGTCTCATTAAAACACTAAATTGCCTGGGCTGGGCTGAGGTTGAATTTATGCTCATCCTGTGTCAGCCTCTAAGAGTGGTAGGGTTATACATGTGCACCACCACACCTGGCTTGTTTGTGCCTCAGTTTCTTTATCTGTAGAATGGTATAAAGAAAGGGTTACCTACCTCACAAGACTTGTGTGGGTGAATAACATGCATAAAATACCAAGAACAGTACCTGGGGGCTCAATATGAAGTGTTATCTATTACTGGTGCTCTATCATAGTTACCTGTCTTTGTCTTTTTGGTCTCTGCCAGATCATCTCCAAATGCCCTCAGGGAGTAGCATAAAACCTGTGTTATAGGCCAAGTCTACATCTCCTAAAGAGGAAGAATACTACCCCAGACTGGCAGGGAGAGAGAAGCATGGGCTCACAGCTCCAATTCTAGGGATACCCAACTTCACCAGAGCCACAGCACAGCAGCAATTGGGCAAATTTAATACAAAGGGCTACTGGCAAAAAAAGATCAGGAAACAGTGTACCAGAAAGTCTCCCTTAAAATCTTCCACTATATGATTTATATCCACCCAAATGCAAAAGTATCAAATATAGTAAGGAGCCAACAGACACCCAAATTTACACATTTTACTCGCATTTGCCACCTCCCCCATGTTTTATTTATTCATTCTTACTGAGAACCAATTATGTACAAGGCACCATGTGCTAGCATCCTGATGTGTACGATTTTGCTTTCCCAGGCAGATCTTCTCCCTATGGTACCATGGAAGAGATTCAAGGGGTCTGTCTCCAAATAAATATGTGCCCTGTTTACTCAAACATAAATTACAAATCCTACACCTACACAAATGTAACGAGAATTTATATAATTTCTTTTAATTATGGGCTTTTCCCAATTACTATAACTGACTGAAAAGAACAGGAGTGGGGATGTAGCTCAGTGGCAGAGTGCTTACCTGGTATACATAAGGCCCTGGGCCAGAAAGCCAGCATAGCAAACAAACAAACAAACAAATGCATGCCTTAAAACACCACAGTAGATTGCCCTGGGATAAACGCATGGGAAAAAGCTAAAAGCAGTGTCTGTCATACATGGAAAAAAATTCAGAGATCAGTGTAGTACTTCTAGAAAGGGATTTCTAGCATATATTCATTAGAACCTAAAGTATAATAGGACACTTAGGTATAGTGTTATAATGCATATCAATTATGGAAGCAAAACATTTTTCCCCAAGTTTTATGCAAACACTCCTCTGCAAGTGAGATTAAAGTTAAAATATTCTATTCCAAATTTTATGATTACACACACAAAATTCTGGGTACTCTCAAAAGTTCTTGCACTTGAGTATGATTATTAGTTCTATATAAAAGTGCTATTAGCAACAAAATATTTTAGGTTGGAACCAAACAACCTAGAGGCTGGAAGAAATCCAAAGTGCTTGAGTTCCTTCATTTACATCAGATAATTTAGAAGCTGAAATTTAATCTGCAAAGGCCTCTGCAGCTATCTTAATCTCATGACCCCCTTCATATGGAACTTTCAGTTCTTCTCATGACTCTGACACTGGTGCTATTTTTACTTCTTACAACATTGATAGAGCAGCTTATCTTTCTTTACTTTACTTTTTCTTTTTTTTTTTTTTTTTAAAGAGATGGAGTGTTGTTGTGTTGCCAGGCTGGCCTTGAACTCCTGAGTTCACTCAATCATCCCACCTCAGACTCCCGAGAAGCTGGGACTACAGGAGGTACCACTATGCCTGTTTTGTCTTTATTTTCCCTTTTTTTTGGTACCAGGGATCGAACTCAGGTCTTTGTGCTTGCACAACAGGCAGCGAAACCACTGAGCTAAATCCCCGGCCCTTGTCTTTATTTTCAAATGAACAAAAGTTGGGTTTTAAAAATTCACTTAAATACTTTGTTCAGTCATTCCATAACAATGCTTTTACCTTAAACTCAAAGCAATGCTAACAATTCAGAAGGAATTGTGTGTGGGGGGGTTGTAGTGTAGTGTGATATAGTGTAGTGTTGGGGACTGAAGCCAAGGCCTCATGCCTACCCCTAAGCTTCACCCCCCAGTCCTTTTTTATTTTATTTTGAGACAGTGTTTCACTAAGTTGCCCAGCCTGGTCTCTAACTTGTCATCCTCCTGCCTCAGTCTCTCAAGTAGCTGAGATTATAGGTGTATGACACCACACCCAGTGGAAAATAAATTTTAATTTTGGTACACAAACAGATATTAAATAAATATTGGTTCAATGAACCTACTAAAGAATGCATCTCTCTCTAAAAATTCAGTTAAGTACAAGATAATCCAGTACAACCTAGATATATACAGGATTTTTTTACAGTGGTTTTTGTTCTGGAATAATTATGGACTTGGTGGCAATAAGAAGTATGCTGCTGCTGAAATGAAGATGAAGTAAAAAAGCTGTGCTGCATGGTTTCTGGACTGCTTGCAAAATTCTGGATATAATTGGGACTTTAGGAGAAAATGACAAAGTAGAGTCATCAGATCATGTCATGAAGTATACTTTGCTATAGGGAATCCAAAATGAGATAAAAGCTCATTTATTATTGGAACTATACCAGGGTCAATAGGTAGAGTATGCAATATATCCTTACTTTCAAAGTAGGTGCTGGGATAGTTTCAAATTTTGTTGTGAAGAAAAGCTCTAGGGTCCTGTTTCTCAGAATTTGTTGCACACTGGAATCACTTGAGGATTTAAAAAAAAATCCTGGCTCCCAGCCCCAGATATTCTTTTTTTTTTTAACTTGCCTTGGGTATGAGCTGGGCATTGGGATTTTTAAAGTTGCACAGCTGACTCCAATGTGCAGCAACTCTGATTGGCTTGGGGCCTTTTAAATACATGACTTCCAGTAACTTACACCTGCGGCCTAAGAATCTTCAGCTGAGTGAGGATGTCCGTCTGCACCCTGGGGTTGGCAGTGGCGGTGAGAGCCATCATTGGAACAGAAGGGAACTTCTGGCGAAGCATATTCATTCTTTTGTAATCTTGGCGAAAATCATGTCCCCACTAGTGTGAAAAAAAGACTCTTTTTCAGATTATTTGGATCTTCCTTACATAAATTGTCAACACTGGTCAATATATTAAAACCACTTTATTCTTCAATGAAATGACAGAACAGTTCACTCAATGTGAATTTTCCTCAGTTCTGAAAATATTAAACTATTGAAGGTATAAACACTAATATTCCAAGAGGGCTGGAATAGCTCAGTGGTAAAGTGGTTGCCTAGCATGCTCAAGGCTCTGGGTTTGGGCTCCAGTACATCAACCAACCAAACAAACAAACAAACAAAACCCCAAAAAAACACCCCAATATTTCAAGATGTAAAAGCAATATTTACCTGGCTCACACAATGTGCTTCATCAATAACAAAACGTGCCAAAAGCTTTCGCTCATACAGATTCTCCAGAGTAGAAATTAGCCGGTTACTTGCACAGACCTAGATCAGAAACATGAGATATCTAAACATATCATCATAATGATTTTGTTGTCTCTAAGCTTCATTACAATTAGGCTGTGTTAAAATATTTATATAAAACTGATTCTTCTTTCAGTCTATGAGGGGAGGGCAGAATAACAAACCATACACTTTAGAAATGTCTGTCCACATGCAGCAAGCAGCTACTCATTAGGTCAGTGGCTGTAAAATTTTATTCTGCCTTGATACATCCGAGGGCCACCACGTGTTTATATTGGTTAACAGGATTAAACATGTGTATTATATATATGTATGTTGTTTGGGGAAAAATTATGTATACATATGTTATGGTTTGGGTCTAGATGCCCAAAGCCTCATGTGGTCAAAGGTTGGATCTAGAGTGTGTGAAGCTGGAATTGATTCATGATGCAATGCTAGGCTCAAGGGCACTAGGATTAAGGTTGTGAGTGTTACTCACCCTAAGTAGCCTGCATAAGATAAAAGGGGCAGGGAGATGATGTTGTTGCCTTTGCTACTTTGGTACGCGCCATGTTATTTCTCCTCTGTGAGGCCTGTTTGTCATCCCAGCCTTGGAGCCAGCCGACTATGAACTGAAACCTCTGCAAACTATAAGCCAAATAAACCCCTTCCCCTCTAACTTTGGATGTCAGCTATTTTGTCTCAGCAATGAGAGAAAAGTAACTAACACAACATATATTTGTAGAAGTTAAGTATGGATGTATTTTATAGGTTTGTCCATGACAAGGTCTAGAACCAATAATATCCAAGTAGTAACAAATACACCTAATACCCACATCTTGACAGGGACACTGGCAAAGGACACAGATGTCAGCTTCATGAGCTATCCCACTGGTCAAATCCAGGACAGTTAGAACATCAAAATATACAATGATGGTGGAAGATATAGCTCAGCAAGAGAGGACCTGCCTAGCATGCATGAGGCCCTGGGTTCAATCCCCAGCACTGAGAGGAAAACAACTTATATTTATTACATAATAAAATATTTATATATGACAACTGTAATCCACTGAATCCATGAGTTCATACTGATATGAATAAATATGAGGGATAAAATGAAAAGATTTTTCTTATGGAAGAATGGCAACTAAATTAGAAAAAAAAAATCATAATCTGGCATTCATAATGGTAATTACTGATTTGGGGAAGCATCATCAACAGATGCTAAAACATGTGAGTAAAACTTTGATGACTAACAGGGTATTTATACAGTCTCACAGTATTCCCAAACAGGGCATCTACTAATTGCTACAGTGGGGAAAAGGAGCCACTACAGTGGGGAAATCTTCAGGTCCCACCTTAGCTGAGGAGTCAGTTAACTGACACCACCAGGAGAAAACATGAGATAAACTCACTGAGGAGCAGGTCTTAGAACTGGCCTCATACTTCAAAAATGTCAGAATCATGAAAGACAAAAAGGAGCAACTGTTTACCTGAAAGGAGATTAATCTAGGTTTTTCTTTTGCTACAAAGGGCATTATTGGACAATTGGTGAAACTGGAAGATGGTTTATAAATTAAGTAATATATTTTATCAATATAATTTCCTGATTTTGGTAATTATACTAGTGTTTTTCATGAGAATTCCTTATTTTTGGGAAATGCACAGTGAAGTAATTAGGTTTAAAAAGATATCATGTCTGGAACTGACTCTCCATCAAATATTTGAGAAAAATATACAGAAAGAATAACAAAGCAATTATAATAAAAGGTTACCATTTGGGGGTTTCTGGGTGAAAGTTACACATGAATTCTTTGTAACATGCTATATATCAACTATTATGTCAAAATTTTAAAGGCACACATTCTACTGGAAGGGCCAGGGATGTAGCTCAGTGATGCCATGCCTGCCTTGCAAGCACAAAGCCCTGAGTTTGATCCCCGGTACTGAAAAAAAAAAAATTAAAATAATGATACGAATACAAACCTTCTCTGGAGTAACATACAGAAGTTTTATAATTGGGTCTTTTTTTGATAACTGGAGGTAAATACTTGCGGCTTCAGAGTCAGTCTTATCACCTGTCAAATATGTAGCTGGAATCTAAGTGTAAAAGTAATCCATTTAAATATTACATATTAATTATATTTTTCTTTAGGTTTTATATTTTATAAATCACATATCAAGCCTATCAAAGGAAATACATGTCTCATAATAGCAATCAATATACCTATTTTTAAAAATTATACTTTTCTTTAGGATTTATAAATATTTCATAAATCACATATCAAGCCTATCAAAGGAAATATATATCTCATAATAATAGCAATCAATACGCATATTTTTAAAAAAAACCTTTATCAGGCATAACTAAAAATACCCTTCCCATTATTTATTCCTTTACTTCTTACACTTGTAAATAACATGAGTTTAGCTTACAAGAAATTCCAGTCCTAATTATAGCTACATTTTTTTAGGTAAACGTGTCTTCTAGATTTTAAGGCACAGTGACAGCAAGGAGGCCGGAACAGTGGCACGTGGCTGTGCTGACATGCTTTGGAAGAGAGCACCAGACCAGTGGTCTTGCTGAGTGTGGTGACTCACAACCCTGCAGTCAGTTCTGCTGATGACAGTGGGAAGGGTTTGGGAGAGTGCAGTCATGTACCGTCGTGTGGAAAAAAGACATGTGTGGGCAGGCATGTACACGCATACATTTTAAGACATAAGGGAAGACCTATGCTGGTCTGGTAGTAGCAAAAAAGGAAATCTCTATGTATTAATAAAAAATTAACTAGCAAAATATAGATTAAATGTTCTTACTAAAATATATTCTTATAGAATGAGATTGAATTATAGATGGTTATCTGTATTAGAATTTTCCAACACTTGTGTTTAATTATAAACTTAACTGTTGTTATTCTTATAATTTGGTTTTGTTTGTTTTTTTGGTACCGGGGATCAAACTCAGGACCTTGAGCTTGTGAGGCAGGCAGCGGCACCACTGAGCTAAATCCCCCGCCTGATTCTTATAACTCAAAAACTTACTTAATACCAAGATTACTGAAATGTAATTGTTTCTAAGGCTCACTTTTATTAGTGTTTTTATCTTACAACTAACTTACATCCAATGAAGTCAGCTTTTGGACTTGATCTACTATTAGTGACCTCAAGGGAGAAATGACAATAGTGACCCCAGGAGAAACACAGGCAGGTAGCTGGTAACACAAACTTTTACCACCTCCTGAAAGACAAATGATGAAAAAAACCCTGTTAGTTTCTATCCTGAGAATATGAAAGTAAAAGATGCAAAGAAAATTACATATAATATTCAAACTAATTCACAGGCTACCAAATGTGTTACCGACAGTGTCAACAATGTGCTACATTGAATGAGACAAACTATGTAGGCAATTTCAATATGTAAACGTGATTTTTTAAAGAACATTTTCTATAAGCACATGCAATAGCAAAAGTAAGAATCAGGGCAAAAAACTTAAATGCAATGCAACTACTTAAAAAGTGTACTTGGGACATCCAAGCATAATAACCCTTTTATTTCTGGTAGTATAAAAGGTCTCTAAAAACCATGATACTAGGACTAAAATAATTACTTTCTATATAATGCATATTTTTAAAGAGTTAGAATGTAATAAAATATACAGTACTGGGCTGGGGATTCAGCTCAGTGGCTCCGCCGCCTGCTTTGCAAGCACAAGGTCTTGAGTTCGATCCCTGGTACCAAAACCCCCCCCCAAAAACACACACACACACACACACACACACACACACACATATACATACATATATATACACATATGTATACATATATATATAAAACTAGAAACTACTAAACCATGACCCAGCATCCCTCTTATGACCCAGAGGCACTTTCAAGATCCCAGCTCTGTTGCTGGTGTGGTGGTGCACACCTGTAATCCCAGTACTTGGGAGGCTGAGGCAGGAGGATCGCTGGGAGTCTGAGGTCAGGCTGGACTACATGGCAAGACCCTGTCTCAAAAAACAAACAAACAAACAAACACACATACACACACAAAAATAAGATCCCAGCTCTTTTATACTGTCAATATGAGCCTTCCAACACTGATCAGCTGGGGGCTGGGAGCTTTAATTCTCAGCACTCTCATTAGCAGAGTCCCAACCTCCTTTGGAAATAAAAAGGTAGGATCACATTTACCTGTGCTAATAAGACAAAGAAAAAATTTTGAAAGACCAAAATATTCTTGCCATGTAACTAACAAAATGCCAAGACAATGAGGATGCATTTCTTCTTCACCTCTCCCCTTCCCTTCCTCTTCTTCCTCCTTCAGTGGTGGGTAGGGAGCCCAAAGCCTTGCACATGCTGGGCAAGGGCTCTCTCTATCTCTGAGCTATACCTCTAGCTCCATGCACACATTTCAAAATAACTGAAATGATTATGTATTACTCAATTTTCAATTTCACTGGTCTCAAAATGACAGAAGCTGGTGCTAAGCAGTTTTTAGGGCTTCAATTTTTTTCTTTTAACTATACATTACACCCCTTCTTTTTTCACATGAATAGGAGGTAAACTTCATTTTGCTATATATGTGGAAATGTCAAGGAAAGAACAAGATGTGAAGAATAAAGAGAAGTGTTCTACCACATAATTAGCTATATGAATGGAGACATGACATTTAACCTTTACTAGACTTCAATTTTAACATCTGCAACATGTATTAGATTAATGGTTTTAAAAAGGGTTTTTTTGGTCTAAAATAAACCTTATTTTGAAATGTTACATATATATCACTCAAGAGGTTGAAATTGGAGTGGAAAAGATCTTTAAAATGCCAGGGTTCTTTCAAGTGTAGAGTTTTCAATGAACAAATTAGAATTGAAACAGAAGACACAGAATGATCAATGAGTTAATAAAATTTGAAGTGTTGGTTAAGCCAACAGTCTTCATTTTTTTTTTGGTACCAGGGATCAAACTTGGGACCTTGCACTTGCAAGGCAGGTAGTGGAACCACTGAGCTAAATACCCAGCCCAACACTGTCTTAATTTTAAAATGAGGTGTAAATAATTCAGATGCTTGGTCAACATTATATAATAATGATGGCAATACCTAACTTCTAAAGCAAAAGACAGGGAGGACTACCTGTGGGTACTGAAATTCCAAATTTTGTTTCCTATCCTAATTGCTTATTTAATATTCTTACATGGATGACTACAAATCATCAGTGTTACAAGCTTTACTAGCAGAGTGAAAAGTCTTGGAGTCTTCAAAGCAGGGCCCAAGAAGAAACAATGAACACGTTATGCTCACACACTGCAAGCCTAGTGCTTTGTTATTGTCCCCACTGCACACCAGGAGGAGATGGGCCTGGGGAAAGTGCCTGGCCTGAGGTCACACTGCTCAGAAGAAGCAGAGCTGTCCTTCAAGCCCAAGCTATTGCTTTAGAGCTGATGAATTTCTACCACCTCTTACCACTAGACTGCATTTTAAAAACTGCTAGAAATGATCATGGCTTCTACAATTTCTTGTTGTTCACTTTCCAGGCTTATTTATATCAGAAGAAAGAAAAATTCCCACAGAAAAATTCCAGATTAAGTCAATACAGTGACCTTTGAGTTAAAAATCTCAAAAAGGGCTGTAAACTTTATCATATCAATAACTAGAACAGAGGATATGAGACAATACACTTCTTACAATGGCATGGGAGGTTTAAGAGGTCTCTAAATGATAGAAATGCTGTGTAGGTGTTCTTTTATTTCTATTAAAGAACTTTCATTTAACATCTGCCAATGGATTCTCGCCAATTCATATCTAAAAATACATACCAGTGGGCATCAGGATAAAACAGTCTTCACCAAGCAGTGCAGCATTGATCGCCTCAAGCTGATTAGTTCTAAAATTATGCAGGCCAAATTTTTTGTGAAAAATCTTCATCATTTCTTTTGTATGAGGAAAACTAAGACTTTGGAAGCACTCTTGCTTTATATTTCTGGATGCTAAATTCTGTGTCAATTTGTCTATGAAAACAATCAACGTTAAGAAAAATCAGTGCATTAATATTACTACACAGTTTTAGCATTTAACCTTGCCCTTGCACAACCACTGGTGTACCTACAGCACTCTATTATTCATGGGATTTCTTCCCAACAGTCCCAAGGCCACCAGCAAATCCCTAAATGCCAAAACCAAGTCCTTCATTGACTTTTCTGCAGATCCTATTAGTACTTTTTCCCTCCTTTCAATTCTCCCCCGACTTTCATGGGTTTCTATTGCTTTGTTTTATTTTATTTTACAGTGTGGCAGATGGAACACAAGAGCCTTGTACATGCTAGGCAAGTTCTCTATTACTGAGCTACACTCCTAACTCTTCCACTGGCTTTAAGTTCCCTTTTCTGGCTGCAACCTTCCCCCGACCCCCTGCAGTACTGGGGATTGAACCCAGGGCCTCTGCACTGAGGTACATCCCCAGGACTGTCCCCCTTTTGAGGTAGGGTCTTGTGAAGTCATTAAATTGCCCCAAACTGGGCTCAAGCTTGTGATCCCCCTGCCTCAGTCTCCTACAGTGCTGGGAATACAGGCATATACAACACCTGGCTTTTCTTTTTGCCTCTTAAATTTTCGAGATTTTTAGATACTTAGGACTGACCTCTTCAGACATTCTTTTCTGTAATTTTCCTAAGTCCCATGATTTTTCTTTTTTTGGTATTGGGGATCGAACTTGGGTCCTTGAATTTATGAGGCAGGCGGTAGAACCATTGAGTGAAATCCTCCCCCCCGTTTTGTTTGAGACAGAGTCTCACTACATAGTTCAGGTTGGCCTCAAACTCACTATGTATCCCAGGCTGGCCGAGATCCCATCACGATCCTAACTCAGGCTACTGGGTGCTAGGATTACAGGTGTTGCCACCACACTCAGCTTTCTAAATTTTATGATCTTAAACATAACCTGCATGCAGAGAAGGCTTAGATCTCTCCTGACACTGTCCTAAGCTCCTGTCCTGCAGGCATCTCCACTTGTCAACAGGATATGACCACCTGAATGACTTAACACTATACCAAACAGATCTAAAATACCCCCGCTCAGCTCTTCTCCAAACCCACCTCTGCCTCCTGACTCCCTTATTTCTGTGAGCAGCGCCACTGGGCCTGAAACCTCAGTTGTCCGAGTTGTTCCCAGTCCTCTTTCACGGCGGCTCTCACATTTGCCTCTGTGCCCTTGCAGGGGGCTCCCTGTGTCAGCAGAGAAGAGATACACTCATCCAGCTCTGGCAGCTCCTCTCACCCAACACTCAGCCACCTCCAAGTTAATTGCAAGGATCATGTATGACACATTCTAACATGACACCAAAATAAATCTATTAGGGCTATTTTATTTTATTTTATTTTTTCTTTGTTTTTGGTACCAGGGATCGAACTCCGGTCCTTGTGCATGCGGGGCAGGCAGCAGAACCAATGAGCTAAATCCCCAGCTCTATTAGGGCCATTTTAAAGGTCAACAGTGTAACTGTAAGAACAACCTCCAAGGTATTAGGTCATCAATGGCAAAAAATAGAGAGGGCTGTACTTTATAAAACTGTGCACATGTACACTTGTTTCAGCTAAAAACACTATGATAACTTTATAGGATGACGTAAAGTCTTAAAATTATATTTGGCTTCACTCTGGACTCTTTACAGTAGCTAAGTTTACTCCTCTAGAAGCGCCTCTCATTAAACTGAACTCCAAGAGAGCAGGAAGGACTTGTTCTTCATCCTTATAAGATCAGAACCGCAGCCAGGTGTGGTAGTACATGCCTATTATCCTGGCACTTGGGAGACTGAGGCAGGAGGACCACATTGAGGGCAACACCAACTTGGGCTCCACAGTGAATGTGAGGCCAGCCTGAACTACACAGTGAGACCCTATCTCAAGAAAACAAAAACAAAAACAATTCAGGGCCGGGGATGTAGCTCAGTGGCACCTCGCCTGCCTCGCAAGCGCAAGGTCCTGAGTTCCATCCCCAGTCCTGAAAAAAAAAAAAACACCCCCAAAAACAAAACAAAAAAACCAAATCATTGGAACTAGCACAGATGATGGTGCATCATGAGCACTTAGCAAACATCTGATGAATAAATGTAAAGGACAGCGCATCCTCATTAGTATAGTGGTGAGTATCCCCGCCTGTCACGCGGGAGACCAGGGTTTGATTCCCCAACAGGGAGGCTGCTTACACCTTTAAGGACCCGAGTTCGATCCCCTGTACCAAAAAAAAAAAAAAAAAAGTAAAGGATTTTAGGCCCCAAATATAATCTGATTAAGAAATTTCTGAAGTCATAACCTTCTTAGGCTGTCCTATATCTCAGTATTTCAAGACATAAAATGTTTCACCACTTTATAAATTAATCATTTTTTATCAACCCAGAATTCTAAAACACACACACATTTTTAGCACATAAATTCACCTTTTCTTTTCGCGTATCCCAAAAATCATTGAAAGCCCTCATGAGCTTTATTGTTTTAGAGACTAAAACATGTTAAAGGGAAAGCACATTGGTAATGACTTTAGAGCTTTACTGTAATAGTTTATAATTACACATTTTATAAAACTACAGCTGCTACAGAGACAAAAGAGCAACTTGCTTTTGAAACTGTGATTTGTAATTCATATTATCAGTGGAAATTTGCATAGAAACAATGTGGTTTTCAGGCAATGATGACTTGCCATGGTTTTTCTTACACAATTCTTATTTTGGACAGTTTTGTTTTCCTATAATATTTAAGCATTTATTTTATTTTAAACTTACCAGTGTGATGTTGAGCAACAGAAGCCCCTGGAAGACAGTGTGTCTTGGCTGCAGAAATCTTCTCTGATACTGATTTCAGTGGCCCACCTTTCTTGATAGGCTGATAGGCAGCTGTGGAAGGTTTACTAGCTGCTAAATCATGCATTATATTTTCCCAGTCATCATCATCATCATCAAAGTCATCTATATTGAAATTATCAACATCATGGGAAGCCTGGTTTTCTCTTTCTAAGTCATTTACTGAAGCAGCGTGTTTATTCTGATCTTTCACAGCAGTGCTTGTGAGAACATTTCCTGGGAAATAAGAGCTTTCGTTTCTTTTTTCTATCCTTGGTGTTTCAGCCCAGTTGTTACTTACAAAGGACTTCTGTAAATGGGAACTGAATAAAGGTCTTTCAGGAAGAGTACTCATGGTGGCTAAGAAGCCTGTCTTTCCTGGGGTGGTGGTCAGTAAACATTCCCTGGTGGAAAGAGAATGTGAAGGAAGGGGTAGAACACTTAGGTCCTTAACAGAACTCCTTGTTGGGTAGGAATCGGTCTCCACAAGGCTACTAAGTGAACCAGGCCTGTATCTCCACACTGAACCAAGAAGACTGGCATCATTTCTGGTGAAACCTGCTTCAGCTAGAAGTTTCCTTCTGAAGAGAAAAAAGAGAACAGTACGATAAACGTAAGTAGTTTACTATGTTGGCCACAAAAGTTTAACTTCAGTTTTCAACACAAAGAGAAATTACAGTGAAACATTTTTTTTTTCCTGGTCTCAAAAATGTGAATATAAATCCTAAAAGAATAGTTTGAAAAATAAATTCAAAACTTGGTGATGTGACAGTCACCCTTATGCAATTTCCAGGTCAGGAAGCCTACATATTTGCCCATCCATTTTCTGACTCATAGTGGTAGAAATGCAATCAGACATATTTCAGAGGAGAGAACTCAAGATACCTTCTGTTCTGCTGCTGAAGCAGCTCTTCTCCACAATCCAAAGCTTTCAGTTCATCAACAGGAATAGTATCAACTAACTTACAGATGTGCTCCATCACGTGAAGAAGCTGCTGCTGTAAACTGATCTGTCTGGCTATAAAGCAATTATGCTGTTAATATTTTTCACTGGAAGCAAAAAAAGACTTAGGACTTTGAAAGTCATGATGTAAAATGTGAAGCAATATAAATACAAGATCATAAACAACATACTGTCCTATTATCTGCCTGTGAATTAACTTGAAATCAGATTCTCTATTCTATAGCATAAAACTGCTTAACTATGTTTTCATTTAATTTCAGGATAGTAATTTTTTCAAGGTAAGCAAAGGTCACTGGACAATACACAGTGATATGATTCTTTTACTAGCTTTATGGGTAAATGTCACTATGGCGACACAAGAGTACAAAAGAGGGACAGGAGCTCCCTGCTCTTCTGGCTGTCTGGCACTTCTCACTGATGCTCATGGCACAGTACAGTGCCTAGGTTTTGTTTCTGGGGACCGCCTCTCCTGTTCCCTCAGTGGGCATCTGATATGATGCAGTCTGATGAGAATTACAGTAGTTTTGGGAGTTTTCTGACTAACTAGGGAAGTGCTCCTCTTTTCAACAAGCTTGAAAAGACTGCTGGTGGGCACCACCAGGGGAAGACAATACAAAAGAAAGCAGAAAGCAGGTAAAAAGAACAAGGGTGGGATTGAGGTGGAAAGATGGGACAGAAGCGAGGAAGAAAGAAGGCGACCCCTGAGGATGATGTTTGGACCATTAATCCAGGCAGACTGCCCCACATTTTTTTATTTTTTGCAGTGCGAGGGATCAAACCCAGGGCCTAAAGCATCCTAGGTGAGCCCTCTATCACGAAGTTATACTCCCAGTACCATGGGTGGTACAAAAGATCCAATCACTTAATAAAAAGCCTCCAGATGCTGTAGTCATGCATATACCACTGGTGGTTCCAGCAATCAGGCAGCAAGACATAAGAATTACGCCCTGTTGTGAACATGTAAGTCAAATAACAAAGGAATAGAATTTCAAAAGAGTTAATGTTTAGATGAAGGAGAAAGAAAGTAAGTGGTTTAGGGCAGCAGTGGCCTAAGAAGATGCCTAGATGCCTGTTCAACCTCTAGGACTTAAAGTATATGGAGAAAAATATAAATATATCTTTTTTTTGGTGGTGGTACTGGACAGTGACTGAACTATCTTATATTCCTAGCCCTTTAAAACATTTTTTTAAAAAAAATTTTGAGATAGGGTTTCACTAAGTTGCCTAAGCTAAGTTTGAACTTGGGATTCTGCCTCAGCCTCCCACAAAGCTGGGATTACAGGTGTGTGCCACCATACCTGGCTGGGAAACAGTCTTCTTAGAGGACAAGAAAAGAAGGGGGAGAAAATGTTTAGAGAAGAGAATGAAGCTACAGGGGTGACAAACCAAGGACAGTCAGCTGAAGGGTTTGAAGGGCAGGAAGGAGGTCAGAGGACAGAGTAGGGGGAGACAACCACCTACATGAGATATGTGCTTCTATGGTGACTGTGGCAAACAGGGATGCTGAGATGGTAAAAGTGGAATTGCTGAATTCCTACATTACTGTTTTCTACACAAGGAGAATTGGCATCAGATTGGAAAGAGGAGAACACACAATGGTCTGCAGGAACTAGAAGCCAAGGCAGGCTCAGAGAGATATGAATACCCAGCTATTAAAAAGGGGCTCAAGTCTCCCTCACAGACAGATTACACTTCAGACTACAAAGGAAACCCACAAACAAGATGGCAGAGGCCCTGCTACTGTTATGTGAGGCATCTAGTGAACAAGAGAGCTGATAGAACATGAAGACAGACATTGTTCTAATCTTTAAAAAAAAAGTGATTGCCAAAAGCTACAGGCTAGTGATTTTCATGTCAAAACAAGCCAAAATTCTAGAACATGTTATCAAATGGCTGCTTTGTGAGCCCTAAGAGGAGGAAATAATTATGGAGTTAGAAGTGTTCATGAAAACAAAGTAACCACCCTGATAGAGTTCATTCTTTGAAAGGATTATGAGACTAGCAGATAACAACAGCCACCACTTAGCAAAGGTCTACAGTGTACCTTGAGTCCTAACAACTATCCAGCAAGGTAGGTATTATTATTTCATAAAGAAAACAAAGGTCTAGTGAAGCTTAACTGATCTGCCACAGTCACACAGGAGGGGAAGACAGGTTTCTGTCACAGGCTGTGTTCCTCCAGGGCCCATGCCCCACCCATTCTCTTACTGCTCCGAGTTCCATAACTCCATGGAGGAGAAAAAACCTGGTCAGAAGGTAGATCTGTCACTAACGGAACAAGAAGGGATAATACACAAAACGATGTCAGCTAAGAGGGAGGCCCCTGATGACACACTCTAGGACTCTGCCCCTGTCCTAGAAGCCAAACTTGACGATACAAGACAGGGCAGCACAGACGGCCAGGTTCGAGTCTACTGCTAACACCGACTGTAGAGAATGATTCAGCTCTCCTATACTTTAGTTTCTTTGTTTGTAAGATGGAGAGAACAGAAACTACATTAAAGGGCTGGTGTGAGGATTAAATTATACTATAGTTAACAAAGTAGGGGTCTGAGGAGAGTGGCTAGGTCATCGAATATTTTAGGAACATCTCTAACAATAAATTCAGAGATCAAAATAAATAAAAATTCACAGGAAACAAAAACACAGAGAACACTATACATACAAGTGCATTATGTACATACGCATTAAACAACGTATAGTATCCGTCAAACAAAAATAGCATAATTTAGAAAAATATTCAGAGGGCCAGGCGTGGTGGCACATGCCTATAATCCCAGCACTTATGAGTCTGAGGCAAGAGGATTGCTGTGAGTTGGAGGCCAACCTGGGCTACATATGAGTTCAAGGCTACCCTGAACTACAGAGTGAGACCCTGTCAAAAAAAAAAAAAAAAAAAAAGAGAAAAAGAGGATAGAAAGAATAAAAAAATTTCCAGAACTGAAGCACATGAATTTCTAAACTGAAAAGTGCTCCTGGGAAGTAAAGATCAAAGGTAAGGAAGGGGTCGCTGGATTATTTATACTAGATATTTAATAGAAAAAAAATTTTTTTTTTGGTACCGGAGATCGAACGCGGGTCCTTGTGCTTGCACAGAAGGCAGTGAAACTGAGCTAAATCCCCAGCCCCAATAGAAAAATATTTTAAGAAATAATCAGAACAATACAATTTTTAAAGTGTATTTCCATCTGTTTCACAAAAATGCTTCTCAAATAGAGTGAAATACACAGAATAACTGCATCTGTGTCAGTTACACTTGACACACAACTGCACAAATGAACAGTATACACTTTTGGTTGTGTGTTAACTTGCATGCACAACTTTTGGCATCTGTGTTCAATGCATGTTTTTGCAAATCACCTATATTTGCTGGGGATTTAGCTCAGTGGTTTCGCCGCCTGCTGCGTAAGCACAAGGACCCGAGTTCGATCCCCAGTACCAAAAAAAAAAAAATCACCTATATTTATAAGAGACAGTAATTGAAATTAAGGATACAAAGAAACCTGCATTTGTAGTCCAGAGTTTTCAATAGGTCCATAATACAGTGCATGGAAATGTGAAAGGCAATTTTGTATATTTGTTTGTTACTAACTCAGATCATTAAAATGAAAACAATTTTTTTAAAAAGAAAATAATCAGACACAATGAAAACAAATAGGCAAAAAAAGTATGAGACTTTAAATGGACACTTGGCCCCAGTATATATGCAAGGGAGAAAAAGAAGGATGAGAGGCTTATAAACCAATATCTACAAATTTAAAACACTTAATAATATTTAGCCTCAAGGAAACAAAATAAAACAAATTTCTAGAATCTTTATCTTTATCTCACAGGAATTCAAGTTACAGAGAGGCAAATTCTGGCTCAATATGAGAAAGGATTTTCTAACGGGTAACATTCTTAAGATAGAGAATGAACTTTGTGAGATCCATGAGTGTTTTAGTTGTTCAAGCAAATGCTGGCTAACAAATGTACAGGAAATGATTGATATTAAAACAAAATGCACAATACCCTTTTTGGCCATTTTATTCTATGCGGTCACAGGATGAATATGCACTCTTACTTTGTTTACAAAAGAAAGTATCTGAGGGCCGGGGATTTAGCTCAGTGGTCCCGCCGCCTGCCTTGCAAGCTCAAGGACCCAAGTTCAATCCTTGGTACCAAAAAAAAAAAAAAGAAAGTATTTGAGATATCTGATATGTTTAAACATCTGATAAGCCTAAAACCATTTTGTACCATCACAGTCTGTACTGATTTCTGGATTGGGCTCCTGCGTAGTCATTTTCTCTGGTTTTGACAGAAGGTCTTTTGATGTGCTAAGAACATCCTCCTCTTGGTCAGAGGCATCAAGATCCTTTAATGCACTTAAAAAAAAAAAAAGGTTAAACCAATCATGCTGTAGACCAAATAAATGTATAATTCCTTCTACAGCTAGTCAGACAATATGTAACAGATTAAGAGAAGTATGTTTTCATGTCTACTCTGCTAAAGCCTCTTTAGGTGTCCCTCAAAGGTTTCCATTTTCTGGTACCAAGAGATCTTTTTAACTTCTAAAGCCAATTATGTTCTTTCAGCAAGTCTAGGCTCCAATTATACTGCACCACTAACATTCCTCATAATCCTATGTTGTCTATTTTAGAGGTTTTTTTCCTCTCTCAGTTCTGAAAACCTTCCATCAAGCTCTGTACCTGATCAGACCTGTTCTCATAGGCCTAGGCTAAATGTTACTTCTGTTATTTCCACCAAGTGGTTACCAACATCTTCCTTCTGAAATTCTAAAGCACGTTGTCTGGACTTCTGGTATGTGAACATGTACATGGATACATTTGCGTGTCTGTGATAATTGACTTGTACAGATTATACAAAATATATTAACTATAAACAGGGACAGGTCAGTCTGATTAGACAGAAAAAAATTATAAACAACAAAGGAAATTAGTACTGGGTGTTAAAGAAGGGATACTGTGGAAACCCAAAGAAGAACATGTTTTGGAGTTTAAGAAGGCTTTGCTGAGGAGATCAAATTGAGCAAACCTTCAGTGATAGGTAAGGGAGACTGATTAGGAAGGAAAAATAAAAAATACATTTCTATTTGCTTGATATCCAGGAATAATCTATACTTTCCTAACACGGGATTTTGAAGTGCAATTTTCTAACTAAATCAAAACAGTCATGAATAACTATTTTTATGTTGCTTTTTTTTTTTTTTTTTTGGCACCGGGGATCGAACTCGGGACCTTGCGCTTTCAAGGCAGGCGCTGGAACCACTGAGCTAAATCCCTGGCCCTTTATATTACTTTTTAAATAATAACATTACCATCAAAGAAAACAGTTGTATTTTTAGCAATGCTTTCTAGGGGGGCTTGTTGAGAACTCTGGGTTACTACAAGGGCATGACTAGAGATAAACCTGAAAAATGGAGCTGGGCACAGTGATGTGCACCTGTAGGCCCAATTACTCAGGAGTTTGGGGCAGGAAGATCACCTGAGTCCAGCAGTTCACAACCAGCCTGGGCAACAGAGCAAGATCACAATTGGGGGGGGGGCAGTGGCAGTGCTGGTCTTGCTTTGTAGTGCAAACTGGCCTTGAACCCCTGGCAATCTTCCTGCCTAAGACTTCCAAGTGCTGAGATTACAGAAGCGTGCCACCACACCCAGCAAGACCTCACTTCTTTAAAAAGAAAAGCTGAAAAGAATATTTGGGACTGGAAGATACAGGATTTTGAGAGCCAGTGTCTTAGTTACTTTTCTTCTTGTTGCTGAGACAAAATACCTGACAACCAAAGTTAAAGGAGGAAAGGTTTATTTAGCTCATAGTTTGTAGAGGTTTCGGTCCATAATCAGCTGGCTCCAAGGAAGGGTGGCATGGGAGGGGGGCATTGCAGAGGAGAAACAGTTCATGGTGGGCAGAAGGTAGCAAAGCAAGCAAGGGGCAAGACAAGCCTCTTTCTGTCCCTTATATTATATCCAGGCTACTAGGATTAGGGCAGTGCCAAACCAATCAGTGGACTGATTTAGTAATCACCCACCCTGAATCCTAGCATTGCACCATGACAATCACATACTCTAGATTCAGCCACCTGTGAAAAAGCCCCACCTATGACTGTATGAGGCTTTGGGAGGACATCTAGACACAAGCCGTAGCAGCTAGCTACAGAGATATTGGAATAGAGGAGATAAACACATTTCCCTTTTCTGTTATATATTGTCTGACATTCAATTTCAGAAATTCAGAGGTTACAATGAGCACTGAAAAATAATAATATAAAATGTATATCATACATAATATATCATTTGAAAAAATTCTATTTCAGTTTTAGAATATATATAGGGCCAGGGATTTAGCTCAGTGGTTCCACCACCTGCCTCACAAGCCCAGGGTCCCGAGTTCAATCCCCAGTACCAAAATTAAAA